CCTTCCTTCCTTCCTTCCTTCCTTCCTTCCTTCCTTCCTTCCTTCCTTCCTTCCTTCCTTCCTTCCTTCTCTCCTCCCTCCCTCTACAATCCTTTCCTGCTTTCTTCCCTCCTCTCCAGAGGTGGTATTCAGCCGGTTCTGACCAGTTCTGGAAAACCGATAGCAGAAATTTTGAGTAGTTTGGAGAACCGGCAAATCCCACCTCTGACTGGCCTCACCCCCATCTATTCTCTGCCACCCATTAAGTCCCAGCTGATCGGCTGTGTCTCCTTTGGTTGCCCTGCACAGGAGAATGGAACTGGAAAGCAGGTTAGTGAGTGGGGAGGGAAGGGGGATTTGGCAGTAACCTTCCCCTGCACTCCCACCAAACCACGCCCACCAAGCCAGGCCCACAGAACCGGTAGTAAAATAATTGAATCCCACCACTGTGTATGACAGTCGCAGTCACGTGACAAGCAAAAGTCAAGGGGGAAATTCAGACTCACTTAAGAACCGTGTGACTAACTGATTCACTTAATGAATGTGGCAAGAAAGGTCATAAGATGGGACAAAAGTCATCAGGCCACCGTCTCACTTAGCAACAGAAACTGTGGGCTCCCTGAGGGTTGTAAGTGGAGGACCATCTGCCAATGACACAACAAGTAAGCTTGCTTACGATGATCATGTAGTGAAGCATTCGGCCATCCACCTTCCCGTCATCAAATTGTGTCTTATACTGGGGCAGCCCAATGTCATCCAGCCACCCTAGAAACAGAAGAAACATGGGAATAGCTTCCTACAAATGTGGACAAATCAATGAAACATCATGGGTGGTAAAACATCTTCTGTATGGGGTCCCTGGTGCTCACTGAGCTTGGTTGTTTTTCTTGCAGACGTTTCATTACCAAACTAGGTAACACCATCAGTGCTAATAAGGAGGGGTGTTTGCTCTCCATTTATATTCTATTGTCATGCCCTGTCCGTCTTGTTGGAAGAGGAGATTCTTTGGTTGGGCTGTTTACTCTAAGCTTGTTTGGAAGTTCCTTAATTGGGGTCCCCAAAGTGCCTTTTTTTCCCAGAGGCAACTGGACTTTTCTTTGAAGACGTTTCACTTCTCATCCCAGAGGCTTCTTCAACTCTGACTGAATGGTGGGGAAGGATTTGTACTCCTTGCATTTGCATCCCTTTTAGAGAGCTATTGAGGTTACTTGGGGGCTTATCTGTTTATTTCACTCCTGGAGTCTGCAATCCCTCCGGAAATCTGTTCACATTCCCACACCCTTCGAAGGGTGTTCAGCCCAAACTGCATAGCTAAAAGTCCGTAGAGACTCTCCGTCATCCAGGTCCTGGTTGTCCCAAAGTTTCTTTTTCAGGAGGCAACTGGACTTTTCAGGAGGCAACTGGCAACTGGAGGGATTGCAGACTACAGGAACCATTTGCACCACTCAGGTGGCCCTGAGGACACAGATTAAACCTCCAAGTGGCCTCAACAACCCTCTAAAAGGATGCAAATGACCAGCTGTCTGCAAGGAATATAAATCCTTGCATTCCCCACCATCCAGTCACAAATAAACTTCCACGTGGCCTCAAGGTCTCTCTGAAAGGATGCAAATGACTAGCTGTCTGCAAGGAGTATAAATCCTTCCATTCCCCACCATCCAGTCAGAGCTGAAGGAGCTTCTTGGATGAGAAGCGAAACATCTTCAAAAACAAACAAACCAGAAAGTCCAGTTACCTCTTGAAAAAAAAAAAAAAGCACCTTTGGGTCAACCTAGTTACCAAGTTACTCAGAAGCTAGGATAAGAAGATGCAGTCATAACAACCTTGGGAAGCATTCCAGAGTTGGATAAAAATGCCAAACCCAGACTAAACATCTAGCTGATTGTGCAACCAACATGATGATGCTCAATATATACAAACATTCTTGTGATTGTACAGGGCAAGTTCCTCTGTAAATCCCCTCTAAAACTTGGAAAACAAAGCAAAAGGGGAAAATTTTATTTTAAAAAAGGGAAAGAAACCTACTTGTAACCCAATTGTAATCCAGTTTCCCGTAATTGTTTTCTTCTTCCGACCCCAAAGCTTGAAGTGCCAATTGTAGTTTTTTTCGATGTAGCGGATGTTTTATTCCAAGTTCCTACACGTGGGACACAAAATAACGTCTTTTGATAAACATTAACCTTTCTGTTCAAGGCATCCCATAAATGCAGGTGAGGGCAACTTTGTGAAACAGAGGTAGCACAAAAAGGACGTTTCTAATGGCCAAATGCTTGATTCGGAGAACCGAGGCTATGGTTTATTTTATTGTTTCCCCATTATAAAAAAGTGTTTATTAGCAGATGTTGTTGGTTTTTTGCTTTGATATATAATACCTTCTGTGTTTTGGTTTTGGTGGTGTGTTTTTTTTTTTGTATTTTCTGTAGAGTTATTGAAATTTACTTTATTGAAACTAGTAAACTAATTTTAAATATCTGAGCTCAATTGTGATTGTAAGTTTATATACGTGTGTGTGTGTGTGTGTATACACAGATACACACACACACACCCCTACATACATACATATACATATACATATACAATTAAATTCCTTCTGTGTTTCAATTTTTTGTATTTGTTATATAGTTATTGAAATTTATTTAAACTAGTATACTAATTTTAAATAGCTGATCTCAATTGTGGTTGTAAGTTTATACACACACACACATACATATTTGCATACACATATACACACACAAACACATACATTTACATATATAATTAAATATATACACACACACACAAACACATACATTTGCATATATAATTAAATTCCTTCTGTGTTTTAATTTTTTGTATTTGCTATATAGTTATTGAAATTTATTTAAACGAGCATACTAATTTTAAATAGCTGATATGGGACATGCATAAGCGCACCAACGTGCCTACCATCCCTGTCCTATTGTTTCTTTTTCTTATATGTACCCATTTCATGTATTCATAACTATGCATATACTTATACCTATTATCTTGTAAGCAATTGACAAATCAAAATAAATATAAATCTCAACCGTGGTTGTAAATAAATAAATAAATAAACCCCCACACAAACACATGCATACATTTACATATATAATTACATTCTTTCTGTGGTTTAATTTTTTGAGTTTGCTATATAGTTATTGAAATTTATTTAAACTAGTATACTAATTTGAAATATCAATTTTCTCTTTTTGATGTAAGATCTTCTGGACTCAGAAAAAAAATACATACATACATACATACAGACAGACAGACAGACAGACAGACAGACATCTTACATACATACATACATACATCTTACAGACACAAGATGGCAGCCTTTGTTATCAAACATGAGTCCAGACAGTAGATGAATTGCTACTTAGCCAAACCTCATTGCAACTCACAAGTCACCAACAAAAGAGAATATATTTATAGCTCAGGACTGAATTGTGGGGTCCTTGGTACTCTCTGAGGTGAGTTATTTTCTTACAGACATTTCATGACCTGATGGGGTAACCTCATCCGTAGATGAGCACTGATGATGTTTCCTAGGTGGGTCATAAAATGCCTGCCCACCTCAGGGAGCACCAAGGACTCCAACGGCACATGAGGGAGAAGAATATACGTGTGTTACCTTCTCTAAATCACTCTGGGATGCTTGCAAGAGAGTCTGGCCAGACAGAATCCAGTGTTTTCCATTGCCGATGTAAAAACCCAGGCCCTGCTCCTGAAGCCAGCTGCAAACTTGCTCTTTCCTCCATTTAGCAAACGGCATGTCCAGATCGCTAAAGGAATAATGACAATCAGACCATGTTTCAAGGTTGGATACTTAGGTCCTTGATGGGTCTTCCAGAGGTTGTCCTAAGGTCCATTCCACCAGTCCCACTTAAGAAAATGCCATCACTCTGCTAAACAAATAATTCCCTCAACACTGTCCAACTATTTACTAAGTCTGAATTACTATTACTATTAATCTTCTCATCCTTCCTATCAGCCATCTCCTCTCACTTATGACTGTATGATTGTAACCTTGTTGCTTGTATCCTAACAATTTTTATTGACTGTTTCCTAGCATGATTTGATTGTTTATTGTTCCCTATGACTATCATTAAGTGTTGTACCTGATGATTCTTGACCCTTGATGAATGTATCTTTTCTTTTATGTGCACTGAGAGCATTTGCACCAAGACAAATTCCTTGTGTGTCTAATCACACTTGGCCAATAAAGAATTCTCTTCTCTTCTCTTCTCTTCTCTTCTCTTCTCATTCCATTCCCTCTTCTCTTCAATTCTCTTCTCTTCTATTCCTTGCAGTATTCTATTTTCTATTCTATTTTCTATTCCATTCTATTCTTCATTCCAATATCTATTCTATTCCTTATTCTATTTTTTATTCTTTCTGTTCTTATTTTCTATTCTATTTTCTATTCTATTCTATTCTTCATTCCAATATCTATTATATTCTAATTCTAATTCTAATTCTATTCTATTCATTTATCAAGTCTGTCCATGTATTAAAAAGCTCTTGAAAAATGCTTGGAGATAAATCAGCGGATAAGCACAATAAATCCCTGACTGGCTAGAATTAAATCTTCTGGAAGAGAAAATAGTTCATAATCTTTCAATCCATCCTCAGAAATGCAGAATGGCACATGGGAGGAGAGGGGGGAAATATCAGGGTTTGAAGTGTTAGGAATATGAGTCACCTAACAGCTATTTGGGTTAGAAATATATAAACCAGGATAAACATTGTAAAACTGTATCTTTAAGAAAATGCAAAACTGTAATTAGGTGTGGTTTCTCAAACGGCCATAAGATGGAGCCAGAAACCTGGTTTGTCTTGGCCTTAGTCTCAGAAGAGAGTGTGAGTGTTTCTCTGTTTCCTTCTGTTGGAAAGTATTGCTGTTGCTCCATTTTTCCTAATTGACTGATATTTCTGGATTTAATGTAAGTCTGTTACTGAACTGTTTTTTGACACTGGACTTTGATATTTGGATTATCCCTGGATTGAAAACTGACTCATTTACTTGTGAATGACTTTGGATTGCTTATTTTGAACTTTGCTTAAACCTTTATTGAAAGTAAAACCCTACATTTACTGTACAGTGTATCTGTAATGCTGTGTGTGTATTATTCAAACACAATTCTCTATACGTCTCCCTGTATGCGCTCATTCTCCTAACGGGGAATTACCTCAACATGAAGCATTATGCTCTGCACACAATTTCATTCTAAGTTATTTTAGTTATACCTTTCACTTAATCGTTAGAATTATCAGTTTCCTATAGAGGGGAATATTTGTAGCTCAGAGTTTAAATGAGGGTTCGGTGCTCTCTGTTTGCTTCATCATTTGCTTGCTCAGAGGTTTCATTACCAAACTAGGTAACATCATCAGTGCTAGTAGGGAGTAGGGTTTGCAGTGGAGAGGAGGAGGATTGGTTGGTGGCTTGGTGCTCTCTGAGCTTGGTTGTTTTCTTGCAGGTATTTCATTACCAAACTAGGTAACATCATCAGTCCTAGAAGGGAGAGGGCAGGAGTGGGATTCAGCTGGTGTGGGTGAACCAGAAGTTAAATTTACATCTGGTTCACCGAACTGGTAATTAAACCAACTGGCTGGCCCTGCCCACCCCACCCCGCCCCTCCCAGGAGTCTCCACATGGCCCATCTATGTGGAGGCCTTGGGAGGGTGAAAAACGGACCTCTTGAAACTTCTGGAAGTCCAGAAGGGAGCCTGTTTCCACCTTCTGGAGATCCTCCAGAGCCCAGGGGAGGCCATTTTCACCCTCCCAGAGGCCTGAGGGAAGCCTCCGGACTCTGGGGAAGGTGAAAAATGGCCCTCCCAGAAGTTCTGGTAGGCCATGCCCAATCAGGAACTGGGCAGAGAACCGGTTGCTGGGATTTTTGAATCCCACCCCTGGGAGTGGGGTTACATCAGCACCAATGATGTTACCTAGTTTGGTAATGAAACGTCTGCAAGGAAACCGAGCTCAGCGAGCACCAGGGACCCCCTCATTTTGCACCAAGGACCCCTCTTATCCTATCCTTTGTCCTACTAATGGCCCAACTCTAAAGCCCCCAACTTTTTTTAATCAGTAACCCATAAAAATCACCTCATTTTATTTCCACAGTCCAAGTCACCCAGCTGCATTCAAGCGTAATAAGGCAGGAGGGGAAAAAAGAGAAAAGAAATGATTTCTGTGTTACTTCAATCCTTCTGTCTTACTTATTAGATTGCCCAAGATCCCTCGACCAGCCAAGCCTTGGACCAGCCGTCGCTCTCGTTCCTCCTCTTTTGAACTCAGTTTCCGACATGTCGTCAGGATTAAATGTGGTGGACTGGCTTCTTATTAGTCTAAGGAAAAATACAAATTTAAAGAACGGGAGGAATTAAGGGGAACATAACAGATAGCAATACCTAGCCAATTATGAATTAACCTCATAAAGATGCTTTTTTTCAAGAAGCAACTGGACTTTCTGGTTTTTCTTTGAGGACGTTTCACTTCTCATCCAAGAAGCTTCTTCAGCTCTGACTTGGATGGTGGGGAAGGGAAGGATTGATACTCCTTGCAGACAGCTGGTCATTTGCATCCTTTTAGAGAGTTGTTGAGGTCACTTGGAGGTTTATCTGTGTCCTCAGGGTCACCAGAGTGGTGCAAATGGGTGTGGAGCCTTCTTGGAACTGTTGAAAGGAGATGTATTGCAGACTGGAGATAGATGATCTCAAATCCCACCCCCTCTGTTGAGGGAGGGCTGTTCAACATAAGAGAATATGCCCATCAGGACAAAATTCAGCAGTCCACCTGCATTTCAAAGACAAAGGCCGCCCTTTTGAAGACGGGAAAGAGAAGACCACCAGTTTGAAAGAGAGGTCAAAGAGGCCAGCTATGCCAAAATTGAACAGCTCTCTGTTCAATTTCTACACCATCATCAACATTTCTACATACATCAACACAATCCTTTCAGCAGTCCCAAGAAGGCTCCGCATCCATTTGCACCACTCCAAGTGGCTTCAACGGCTCTCTAAAAAGATGCCAATGACCAGCTGTCTGCAAGGAATATAAAACTCACAGTAAGGTAAGCCTGCTGGGCTCCATCCAGGATAGCATTCTGTAGAATTACATCCTCATTACCTGCCAAACAACTTCTTGATTCCTCTCGCTTTCTTCTTGGAGTCAGGAGAAGGTGGAGTAAGAGGTCCACCTTCTGCACCTTTGGATGGATGAGGGAAGCCAGCCAGATCTAAGTGATCAGGGGATTCTTTCTCAGTCTCCGCTATTAAATAAAAGCAAATCTCAATTAAGTTCTTCAGTTCATCACCTTTACATCAAGCGTCTTTCTTGAATTGGAGAGATAACCTTTGCTTTGTCATGCCAAGAGAACCATAATCGAGAAAGAAGTTTACTGTTATCTTCCTTTTAAGCAATTAATTAACCAATCAATTTTCAAAGCCTTACAACAGATTCTCTCGCGCTTTTTTTCCTCCCCCAATTCTCTTGTATCATCAATGTATGGAATAAATGGAGCGTGGCGGAAACTCAGGGCAAGAACGGGTAGAACTTATTATTCGTAGTGTTGCTTAGTGATCGTATCTTTGACGAATGTCCAGAATATCAAGAAATTATGGTTAGCATATATAGTCCCTGAATGGTCTCTGCCTTTAAATCAATTGCTTAACCCTGCATTGTGTCAAAAAAAGGGTGTCCTTTTTTGCAACCATCTATCCTCTGCGTATTTTGAACAATATAAACAAACGAAGACTGTGAAAGCTACAAAGTGCAATTTTGGATAATTGGTTGAAGAACAATGATCAGTTACATTATTTACCCTTCCTTCCTTCCTTCCTTCCTTCCTTCCTTCCTTCCTTCCTTCCTTCCT